CTTATGCATGTTCATTAGCGCATGTGCAATTATCCACTTATATAGCGTTCTTCTATAATATATTTAAGGGCAAATATAAAAAGACCTCCCTCTCCAATTTTTTAAATTTTAATTTTTTTTTTATATTTTGACATAAAATATAAAATATAAACCTCCCGCCTCCTGGGAGTTTTTAAAATTTAGCGATGAGAATCAAGGAATTTATTTTATATGGCCTAACTACACTTTTATAAAACCGGCTTAACTACGTGATTAAAGTTAACTATTTTTTAAGACTTTTTAACTACGTTTTAACTGCAGTTAGCACTAACTACGTTTTTATACAACCGGCCCCACGTAGCTCTCGACCTAAACTTGCAATTATTTTGTCATTATCCATGCAAATGTGTTAATGGACGAGGTTTTGTTTAATTCGAAACGCATTAGGCATCCATACCATAATTTGAGTCACTCTTCTTTCGTGTGAAACATGTAAAAAGATTAAAAGAAACTATTGAAATAACGCCGTTAGAATTTGAATGCCTCAGCACTCTGCTAAACCCAAGAGTGCATAAAAGCTTGACATAAGTAAATTTTATGCATAAAGAAACTGTTTAAAGTGGCTTATCTACACTTTTTAAAAAATAGAAGATTTCCTGATTTGGACAGGAAGTTCTGGACAAAAATTATTTATTAAAAAACAAAGAGTATCTGTCTTGGATAAAACAATAACTACGGAGTTCCGAGTTTTTAAAAAAATAATCGTAACCAGTGAACTCTAATAAGACTGCAACGATAACTCGGCCGCCATCTTTGAAGCCAAATTGAAGGCCGCGATGAAGGCCAAAAGCCGAAATTACACCATCAGAAAAACGCCGATTTTTTTTACACAAAACTGCTTTGTTTGAACAAGACTAAGGCTTAAAACAAACAACAATACTTGAACTTTACTCAAAACATGTTTCGTGAACGTAGAGAGATTTCAACCATATTTTTTTTGCGAGCTGAAGGAGCAAGGGTGGTAACGTGATGTAACATATAGGGGCATGTTACATATAGGGGTATATTACCTATAGGGGCAAACATAATGACGCAATGTTTAATTAAGTGACGTCGTATTTTAACGTTAATTCCAGTACGACTCATGTTACATATAGGGGCAGAGTTATAAATCTTATCTTACAATAATCTAGGGGTGAACACCTTATGTTACAAAGCATAAATTTTCTTCAGCACGTTCTAATTTGTTAAATACTTCAAATATAAAGCTGATACCTCAAAACTTTTTGCAGCTAGTTAATGCAGAATACTTGAGCTATCCAGAAAACCAAGTATGATTAAATCTTTGAAATTTAAATTTTCGGACGAAAAACACAATTTTTCGGCGTATTTTTGCTAAAAAAACAAGGTTACTAGGATATTAAACTCTCCCCAGCCTTTTTTTGAAATGCAGAGCGCAGTCTAGTCCCTAGGCCTCTTAGAACGCCTACTACGCGTTTCTGCAACAGAGGACTAGGGACTAGTCTGGGCAGAGCGCGCGATACATCTCCCGGGCGCCAAATCACAAATCGCAAATCATGGGGGGTTTCTACAGAAAAATCGATTTTTCACATCTTAGAGATGTAAAAAAAGTACTCAAATAAACAACTATACCTAGGCTTTAATACAAAACAGGTATAGTGGTCGGTGGATATATGTTCTAAAGTTGGTTTTTTGTGGGTAGCCCGTTCGCGGGCTACCCACTATCATATACGAAAAAAACGATGAGAGATGATAAGCGCGCGATGTCTGTCCGCCGAGTTTGTTTATCTACGAAAGACACTGGGCGCGAGGTCGATAAGCCGGAAGTAAGTACGACAGTTTGGCGATCGAAAGTTCGGTATTTCGTCGGAAACTCAAAAATCAAAACAACTTTGCTGTGGGAAGTGACCTGCGACCAACTCATTAAAAGTCTCAAAATATACTCTAAATTTTGCGATAGATGAGTCGAAGAAGCGGTAAGTTACTATTTTTTGTTCATATAATAGGCTTTTCTCCCTTTTGTTGGCTTTTGATCTGCTCGATTGGTGTTGTAAATCATATATTGTGTTGGGTCACAACAGCGAGGTTTTACACAGGCAATCCCGTTGTTTATGTTTAGGATGTAAATAGAAAGTCAACCAAATGGCAAATATCGGTGTGCTTTGTGGTTTGGTCGAGTAATATGATTTGAATCTCCACCGTTATTTGTTTGAGTGATTAATACTTCTATTTGAAATGTGGAATCCAAGAGGCAAGAGTTCAGTAGTTGTTCACAGTGTATCTGTCAAAATGCTATGGACAGTAAAATTTTATGTGGTCCTAACAAAGCCTAATACATAAATTTTAATTTGTTCTTCGTTACCGTAAATATTTGAATAATATATTAGTAAATTGCACTAGCTCCTTTAATAACGAAAATGACATTTAAAATTCTTGTGAACTAAACTATTAAAGGTCAAGGAATCTATCGCAAAGATAAATATTTAACATGTAGTATTAGAGTATTACCATATATGTACAGAATAGGGACCCAAATTTCAAAATCGTCATGGGTACCTCTTTTTGTATATGGTATAAGTAAGAGTTATAAACCGAGAATGTGGCATATTACAGTATATTTACCCCAAACACAACAAATTTAACAATAAGTAAGAGTTGTAAACCTAGAACGCGGCATATAAGAAGTTGTACATTTATGCACCAATCAATGTTATGCATGATTCAATTCCAGGAGTAACCACCCCACCCCCGGAACACACCCGGGCATTTGATTTGATTGGTTATGATAGTGTAAATGCCCGGGTGCAGGGACACAACTCGAAGACTAAGGCACGGCCCCTGGGCAAGCTGAGAGTGGAAAATGCCCCACCCCGGGGACGATTTTACAGTCGATTTCACGAAACTTTGACCACAAATGTTCCGAACTATGTTGCGAAGTTCGCAAGTTCGTTGCGAAGTTCGGAAGCTCATATTGGAATTCACAAGCCAATTTGTAAACAAAGGCCCTGATTGGTCCGTGAAGTAAAAGAAGCCAATCAAATGTGTAGTTTACGAACTGGTTTGTGAATCTCATTATGAACTTTTGAACTTCTCAACAATCTTGTGAACTTTGCAACGAAGTTCGGAAAATTTGTGGTCAAAGTTTTGTGAAATCGACTGTAAACGTTAATTAAACTTTTAATGGCATACAATCATAGTCATTTAATAACATTATAGATTAAACTGCTATGGAATATTATAAAACATAAACCTTTAATAGTTGTATTTAAAGTTTGCATGGCACAAGGTATAATTTTCGCTTATTCTTACAATACATTTCACGCCACCTTGACCACGATCAGCGCGCCCAGATGCTTGCCTGAAACTATGTTTTGCTGCCTTAAAATTTGTGGGTGGGATTCTGGGCAACCATTTGTCAAATCCCCGGGGTCCTCCAATACCCGGCCCCCGTGCAAACATATGAAAGGCAAATTCCCAACCCCCGTGAACTGTCTATCGGGCAAATTCCCGGGGGTGTCCCGGG